TGTGATCCTCGGCTTCTCGGGCTTCGGGTGGTCATGATAGTTAGACGCCTGGGACCGTCGGTCGAAGTCGTCTTCTCGCTCGTACTCCTCACGTCGTCGCTCGCAGTCCACGTCTCGCTCGCGCTCATCCTGTCGCCGTTCCTCTTCGTGTCGCTCACGGTCGTGGCATGCTCACGCTCGCGGCGTCCTTCATGATCAGGACGCTCGCGATTGGGCCGTCGCGGTGGTGATTGGCGCGCCAACATGTTGCGTGCCATTTCATCGAAACGACGGTTCATGATCTCCATCAAATCACGAACGGACGCCTTTGTGGTATCGAGACCCTCGCCTAGGGTATTCATAGCCTCGCTCATACTACGGACTTGAACATCGAGATTATCGATCTTGTCCTTCATCTCCTTGTTGACCATGGCTTTTTTCTCCTTTCTTCTAGGACTCGTGTTGAAGATGATGATATATTTTTTTTTTTTTATGAGGGGGGGAACGAAAATAAGAAAAGAAAAAGAAAGGGAATGGGGTAGAAGAAAAACACACGATCAACACCTCTATTTATTAGTTGTTTATTTCCTATTTATTTCCTAGCTATTTTATGTTTCTTTTTATTATTAAATAATTAGTTATCTTGCTTTCCAAGATAACCTAATAGGATTAGGAATGTTGGGTCTCTATTTATTGTACTCCTTCCATGGGAGAAAAGCAGTTTTTACCATTTAATTATACTCGAACTATTTACCAAAAGTTCCAGTTGTTAAGGCAAGGTAATCGCACGGTTGATGAGTATACTGAAGAATTCTATAAGCTTCTCACTCGTATTGATGTTCGGGAGACGGTGGACCAGTTGGTGTCCCGATACGTGGGGGGCTTGCGTGTTTCGATTCAGGATACTTTGAACCTTTTTATCCCGGATTCGGTTTCGGACGCTCACCAACGTGCTGTCATGGTCGAACAACAGCAAGCACGACAGTCTCCTTTTTTTTCATCGAACACACGCGGTGGGGCCTCGTCTTCAGCGGCAGCAGCAGGCCATTCTTTTGGCCCTGGACAGAACCTGGGCGCATCAACTTCGGCCCAAGGTGCAGTTCGGGCTGGGGTAACGGGCCAGGGTCCGTCGGCAACCGCGGCAGGTGGGTCTCGCGTGGGATCCGGTACGAGGTGCTTTGCCTGTGGTGAAACCGGGCATCGTCAA